CCTCTTCCTCCTCCACCTCCAACACCACCTCCTCCTCCTCCTCCTGCTTTTTCTCCTTCCCAGTCACGTCCCTTTACCCGTTCTCTTCTGCTCTCACTCCCTTGTGGCGTTCCTTCCCTTTTTGCTTCCCGTTCGAACCGCCGCTCCATATAGGCACGGCCAAGGCGATGAATTCGCAGAGCGCACGCGCGCACTTAAAATGCCATTCGTCTCAATTATCGCGGTCGAGCGCAATATAATGCGCGCCACCAAGGGCTTCGATACGTTATTGTGTGTGCAACGCTCGCGCTTCGATGTGCGAGTGCCCGAGATATTATATGTCGACACGCCGCTTTATACCCGGCTAAGTGGACGTGGACGTGGGTATACGGATATAACGCGAGCAAAGTGTCAGAAGGTGAAACGCTACCGGATGACGATGATGACGACGAGCTGGTGACTTATAACGAAGGGCGTGAGATTGATTTTTCGACTACTTTGTTGCTTTGACGGGCCGTCACTCGACCTTTTATTATAATGCCGATCCTGGCCAAAGGCTCCTATTGTTGGGACGGCTGTCGCGGGCCTACGAGAGTCTGCCAATCGCGAAGCCTCGCCTTTGAAACGCAAAACACGCCGAGTCTTGTTTCAGTTAATGGCTAGTGGCGGGGGGGGGAGGGGGGGGGGGAGGGGGGGGGTTGACAGAATTCAACGTAGGAGCGCGGGCTTGCGTGTTCTGCCTAAACAGTAGCCAGAACGGAATGTCTTTCGAGACAAAGTGATAAAATACCAAATTCTTCATACCACTAATACGACGAGCACTAATGCACAAGCATAATAAAAACAAAAACAAACAAACAACAAACATTAAAGGATAAAGACGAATAGAGAAAGAGACAAAAAATAAAGAAGAAAATTTCTTCAACAATATATGTAACGGATATATTGTACATTACATAAAGAACTTGCCATATCGTGAAAATGCTAATTATCCGACTTTCCTTAAATAGAGTTTCACTGCAGATATCAATAATGCGCGTAAATCATCGACATACCTCTGGTAAATAGTTTGTAGTTCACCTCGTAAAAATAAAAGCCATCGATCCTGCATACAATTATTTATTTTTAAACAAAGTGCGAGAGATCGCGCGCTCCCCTCGCGCCACGACACCGCATCATTTCACTTACCCGGACCGATAAGAAAATGTCTCTATTAATAGACGGCTAATAAATGGAAGCGAGAAGAAGGAAAAAATGGCTTCGGCCGAGGTTACCGTTTGAAAAAGCGTTGGCAAGTGTCCGCGTCGGCGTTACGATATTTATTTGTGCGACAAGCAGCGACTCCGCACTCGCGACGCGTACGACGTGGCTCTCGCTTCTGCAAATATTCCACGGTCAGCTGGCTCGTAAGGTACAGACTCGCCAGCTCCGGGGTGATTGCGATATATTTTATTCGCCGTGGAAAATCTGTGTCGATTGGCGCGACCGCTAAATGCATCGATTAATTTGCTTTGGCTGTGGCTGCTCGCGACGCGGCGCGGCTAGCAAAACAGCGGCTTCACTCTCTCACTCTCTCTCTCACTCTCTCACTCTCTCTCACTCTCTCTCTCTCTCTCTCTGTCTCTC